ACACAGGGATACTAGTGCGAGCGCTGTGCCGAGCAGCACCAAAAGGCACACGTCTGGGTGTGTGCGTGCGTACATGTGTGCAGGCATACACACAGGGATACTAGTGCGAGTGCTGTGCCGAGCAGCACCAAAAGGCACACGTCTGGGTGTGATGTGCGTACATGTGTGCAGGCATACACACAGGGATACTAGTGCGAGCGCTGTGCCGAGCAGCACCAAAGGCACACGTCTGGGTGCGTGCGTACATGTGTGCAGGCATACACACAGGGATACTAGTGCGAGCGCTGTGCCGAGCAGCACCAAAAGGAACACGTCTGGCTGTGTGCGTGCGTACATGTGTGCAGGCATACACACAGGGATACTAGTGCGAGCACTGCGCTGGACAGCACCAAAAGGCACATGTCTGGGTGTGATGTGCGTACATGTGTGCAGGCATACACACAGGGATACTAGTGCGAGCGCTGTGCCGAGCAGCACCAAAAGGAACACGTCTGGCTGTGTGCGTGCGTACATGTGTGCAGGCATACACACAGGGATACTAGTGCGAGCACTGCGCTGAACAGCACCCAAAGGCACATGTCTGGGTGTGATGTGCGTACATGTGTGCAGGCATACACACAGGGATACTAGTGCGAGCACTGCGCTGGACAGCACCAAAAGGCACATGTCTGGGTGTGATGTGCGTACATGTGTGCAGGCATATACACAGGGATACTAGTGCGAGCGCTGTGCCGAGCAGCACCCAAAGGCACACGGCTGGGGGTGTGTGGGCGTACATGTGTGCAGGCATATACACAGGGATACTAGTGCGAGCGCTGTGCCGAGCAGCACCCAAAGGCACACGGCTGGGGGTGTGTGGGCGTACATGTGTGCAGGCATATACACAGGGATACTAGTGCGAGCGCTGTGCCGAGCAGCACCCAAAGGCACACGGCTGGGGGTGTGTGGGCGTACATGTGTGCAGGCATATACACAGGGATACTAGTGCGAGCGCTGTGCCGAGCAGCACCCAAAGGCACACGGCTGGGGGTGTGTGGGCGTACATGTGTGCAGGCATATACACAGGGATACTAGTGCGAGCGCTGTGCCGAGCAGCACCCAAAGGCACACGGCTGGGGGTGTGTGGGCGTACATGTGTGCAGGCATATACACAGGGATACTAGTGCGAGCGCTGTGCCGAGCAGCACCCAAAGGCACACGGCTGGGGGTGTGTGGGCGTACATGTGTGCAGGCATATACACAGGGATACTAGTGCGAGCGCTGTGCCGAGCAGCACCCAAAGGCACACGGCTGGGGGTGTGTGGGCGTACATGTGTGCAGGCATATACACAGGGATACTAGTGCGAGCGCTGTGCCGAGCAGCACCCAAAGGCACACGGCTGGGGGTGTGTGGGCGTACATGTGTGCAGGCATATACACAGGGATACTAGTGCGAGCGCTGTGCCGAGCAGCACCCAAAGGCACACGGCTGGGGGTGTGTGGGCGTACATGTGTGCAGGCATATACACAGGGATACTAGTGCGAGCGCTGTGCCGAGCAGCACCCAAAGGCACACGGCTGGGGGTGTGTGGGCGTACATGTGTGCAGGCATATACACAGGGATACTAGTGCGAGCGCTGTGCCGAGCAGCACCCAAAGGCACACGGCTGGGGGTGTGTGGGCGTACATGTGTGCAGGCATATACACAGGGATACTAGTGCGAGCGCTGTGCCGAGCAGCACCCAAAGGCACACGGCTGGGGGTGTGTGGGCGTACATGTGTGCAGGCATATACACAGGGATACTAGTGCGAGCGCTGTGCCGAGCAGCACCCAAAGGCACACGGCTGGGGGTGTGTGGGCGTACATGTGTGCAGGCATATACACAGGGATACTAGTGCGAGCGCTGTGCCGAGCAGCACCCAAAGGCACACGGCTGGGGGTGTGTGGGCGTACATGTGTGCAGGCATATACACAGGGATACTAGTGCGAGCGCTGTGCCGAGCAGCACCCAAAGGCACACGGCTGGGGGTGTGTGGGCGTACATGTGTGCAGGCATATACACAGGGATACTAGTGCGAGCGCTGTGCCGAGCAGCACCCAAAGGCACACGGCTGGGGGTGTGTGGGCGTACATGTGTGCAGGCATATACACAGGGATACTAGTGCGAGCGCTGTGCCGAGCAGCACCCAAAGGCACACGGCTGGGGGTGTGTGGGCGTACATGTGTGCAGGCATATACACAGGGATACTAGTGCGAGCGCTGTGCCGAGCAGCACCCAAAGGCACACGGCTGGGGGTGTGTGGGCGTACATGTGTGCAGGCATATACACAGGGATACTAGTGCGAGCGCTGTGCCGAGCAGCACCCAAAGGCACACGGCTGGGGGTGTGTGGGCGTACATGTGTGCAGGCATATACACAGGGATACTAGTGCGAGCGCTGTGCCGAGCAGCACCCAAAGGCACACGGCTGGGGGTGTGTGGGCGTACATGTGTGCAGGCATATACACAGGGATACTAGTGCGAGCGCTGTGCCGAGCAGCACCCAAAGGCACACGGCTGGGGGTGTGTGGGCGTACATGTGTGCAGGCATATACACAGGGATACTAGTGCGAGCGCTGTGCCGAGCAGCACCCAAAGGCACACGGCTGGGTAATGTTCCCCAACAGCTCCTTGCCATGTTGGAGTGAAGGCTGCAGATCTCCCGGAACAGACCAGCCACAAAATGAGCAATCCTGGTTCACAGCCTCACCCGCCCACTCCTAGCCCATCTTCTCACCCTGCACAATCAACGCCCGAGCACCCCAGCCAGCACCCCAACAGCAACGTTCATCAGCCACCGCCCTGCGCTGGCCTCTGGTGCCTTCCCTGTGACAGCCCCCTGGGCGAGGCACGGAGCGATTTGACAGATGTCTCACAGGGGAACGCACACAGAGGTGCTGGCCTCAGCAAAGCCACACGCCAGCGAATCTGTATCGGTGGGGTCCAGCCACCATTCTGTCCTTCACTCTCCTTGCCCTGAACCCTGCTTACTCCCGTTTGCGGCATTTCCTCTTCCATGGGACGGGGGCCGTGCCTGAGACACGAGGAGGGTGGGTGTGCTTGTGCGTGTGGCACCTGGCACCAGGCGCCCTGACCCCCAGGGGCTCCCAGCGTGACTGCAATAGGAATATGGTGTGAAGAACAAAGAGAGGGGCTGTCACCAGCTGGGAGAGCAAGTCAGAGACAAGGCCCCACCCCAGGGACGTCCCTCCAGCAAGAGGCCCAAAGGCAGGTCAGACCCCTGGGGCCAATGCTCCCTGCCAGCGACTCTGGGGGGGCCGCCAGCCAGTGCCAGCTCCTCCCCAGGGCAGCCCCCGGGAGCGGCGAGTGGCCAGGGCAGCTGGAAGCTGCAGCAAGGGAGAGGGGCTCACCTGCTCTGTGAGCCTCTTTATCAGGGGCAACCCCTCGAGCGCAGAGCTGTTTCAGCCGCTGGTCAGCACCCGCTCGAACCCCAGGGACACCAGCGTCTCCAGGGCCACGAGGGGATCATGGACCATGTCGAAGGCTGCAAAACCAAACAAGTCCCCCCCCCAGCCAGCTCGCCAGCCAGG